AAAGTGAAGCGGCTGGAATTTTCCCGCTCATATTTGCATTAATTTTTGTACAATTTTTATATAAGTAACTTTCACATTATTTTATGCATTGTCCTAAATTCAATCCATTAGTGTATTTATTGCACTTAAATTTGTATATAATGGTTACAATCTTTGGCCAAAATTACTAACTTTGAGGACAAGGTGGGCTTCTTGAAAACACAAAAGAATAAATATGATCATATAAATTCTAGAACTAAATATATAATTAATCCATTTTTAAAATTAATTTATGTAACACAACTATTAAAATGATACTAAGAAAAAATGAATTATATTATCATGTAAAATATTACTTTGAGTGATGGATTATTCAAATAATCATATTTAATGCAGTTCACTAATTGCCAAAATTAAGAAGAAATAGTCATTCTATTATAATAAATTAAGTTTGGAATTAGAATAAGGAATATTTAAAATATAAAGTTAAAAAAAATATTGTGCTTACCACTCCTTTACGATCTTTTTCGGTTTTTTTCCACTTTAATGAAAATCAGAACTATGTAGTTACAACGATTTAAAATACATAAAGGTTAAATTTTATAAATTTTTCACATTTTATAATAGCTACATATGCTTACCAAAAAAACATAATGCAAAAATTCAAATTAGTTCAAAATATGTATTTATAAATAATAGATTTGAAGACTTTTCATTCGGGTAAGTTTTAGATTTCTCCACAATTCGTAACTTAACATTTGTAATAAATTCTTCAAAAATCTCATTTTGGTGAACAATGTATAAAGTGAAGCGAATATTAATTTAAGTTAGACAATATCAATTTTTAAGGCGTGATTTATATTTTAAAATTTTAACAATGTTTGTACCATAGGATTTATTGATTAAAATTGTATGATTATTATAAAATATGTTGGATCTATATATTTCATTAAAACAATTGGCATGCGCTCTTATTTTCAGAGTTTTGGGGTTATAAGAGTACAAGTTCTAATAATATACTGAACATATAAAAGTAATGTATATATATATATATATATATATATATATATATGTATACTAAAGCTAAGGAGCTAAAAATTCCCGTTCTTTTTGCATTAAATGATTTGTAGTTAATGTTGTTAAAATTGAAAAATACATATATAATATTATTGTTGATTTTTGGTCCAAAATAATTAAGAAAAATATGGCTTCTTGATAAAAGAATAGAAAAATAACCAGTCACATTGAATTGTCCATCCATATACCATAAGTTCTCAAGAAATAATAATAATAATAATAATAATAACAACAACAACAACGACAACAACAACAATATATTTTTCAATTATAGCTATATTTGAAAACTCTAGATATAGCTATAATAATAATATTATCATTTAATTCCCCAAAGAGAACATCTGTTAAAATGATAAAAAAATTTGAATAAAGTGTAAAAAGGGAATAAAAGTTCTCATCATGACCATTATTATTTTTCGTTTTAACTCATGAGATTTGAAATATACAGCTACAAGGATTTACAAATAAAATAAAACAATAATAAAAATTAAAAAGTTAGATGTCTTACACATTTTGTAGTGACATCATATATTTACAAGAATTCATTAATATGGGTAATAAAAATTGTAAACTTACACAATCAAAATTATATTTTCTTATTTTATTTTCTAATAAATTTGTTCAAAATTAAAAGAAAAAAAAATACACATAGAGAGAGATAAAAAAATAATGTTATTTATTCAACTAAAATGGATAATATTTTCCAAAAAAAATAAGTATCATCTACGGGTATTAGAGACGAACCTGCATATCCATATAAAATGTATCGAAAAAAATAGTGAATAACCTATTTACTTGGACAAAACAATTTATCTCAATTTAGGTTTATTTTACCAATATCAACATGAATATAAAATTAATGAAACATAAAAAGGACAATTTATTATCGAACACGACATCAGAATTTGATTGTATTTATGGGTAAAAAATACATAGATGTTTCGTACATAATATTAAAAAAAATAAGAAAAATAGAAGATATAGAAACTATATCATACAGATTGAAAGAGTAAAGGATTTCAAAAAGGTGCAACTCATGTCTTTAATTGTGAAAACTGAAGAAAAATTCATATTGGTTTTGATCTGACTAGAATTGTTTGACCAAAAAATATAACGTTAGTTTAATTTTATTTATTTTTAATTGGTGTATTTTATTTTATCTTTGTCAAAATCTTGAAGAGGACATCTAAACATATGTGCATAATTTTGTTACCGCCATTCTAATTTTTTGTCCATAATTATACAATTATAACTCTTGAAAAAAAGGGCATAAAGGGTTAATTATTTTGTTAATTTTTTATTCGTATATTAATATTATTTGCATAAGAATGATGTGAAGATATTGTCTTTTTCAAAACATTACGACAAAAAAGTTCTACACGACATACTACAAATGCAACAACTATTTTTTTTTTATCATATATCGCAAGTGTAAGTTTTACTTTTTATTAAAGCTATATATATTAGTAAATTAAATATTCTATTCTTATTGTTTTGCAAGAATTCTATCAATGTGTATTTCTAACCAAATAAGTTAAATTGCTATTCTCATAAATTCTCATAAGTATAGGCTATTGATCTAAACAAGGATAGATGATCATCTTGATTGTTACCTTAATATGACCTGAAAATATAAAGAAAAATAAGTCAAAGTATATAGTAAAAAACTAATTTGATATATATATATATATATATTGTCAATTAAAAAAAGTGAAAATTATTTCGACTTAATTTGAAACTAAATGTATGGTTCGAAATTGAGTCATTTTAGTATTTTTTATTCAATATTTAATTTATAATTTTTTAATTGGCTCATATGTGTACATATTTATTTCAATTATTCTATATCAGTTTATCTATATATAATAGTAATAATAGAATGATGAAAATTATTTTATTATCCAGACATTTTTAGGAAAAAAGTATGAAGCAGTATTATTAATGTGACAAACATTAATTTTCATCGAATATCATAAATATTTTTTTTAATGTTAAATTTATTAGATTTGCAATTTTTTTTATGAAAAAACCAACATATGATAATCTGTAGTCACAATCACGTATATGTTGTTGTTTCTAGAGTCATGAATCGCTATTATTTGATCGTATAATGAATACAGAACATAACCTACTAATATTATATTTAAAAAAATATTTTAAAATATGATAAATAAAAATTTTCATCTTACTTTTTATTACCTCTATACATATTTTATAAATACTTTTTATTTAATTAAATTATAATTCATCCAAGTCATTTTTAACACTAGACTGCGCAACGTGCCTTACTAGTAAATATTAACACGTTCATCCAAAGGGGTCAACTGTTCATGCCTCATCCTTTCTGGATATACTTGTTTCTGGATCTAAAAATTAAGAAATTGGGCTGGACTTTTATTTTCTGTAGTCCAAAATAAATGGGCCTAAGCCTACCAAGCCCGTCGTTGTGATTAGGCTCATGAGTAGCCCAAGCGTCTCGGGCCTCCAAGCCCGACATGTAATTTTCTATATAAATTATTAAATGCAGAGAATGATAAAAAAGAAAAAAGAAAAAACAAATGTTGTGTTCCCCTAATCGCACAAACTACTAATAGCAACGCCGCCGCCGACCACCTCCGCCACCGCCACGAAAACCATCGTTGACGCGAGACTGGTGATTCACTCGCAGCTTCTCAATCCAATTACTGGTAAGAAATATGAATCTTCTTTTGTATTTTTCCTCCCTTGGTTGAAGCTGAAGGTGCGGTTCTGCATTTGTATTTGAGCTTTGAACTAGCTTTTATGTTTATTTCCTTTGAGAGAAGAACATTAGCTGTATTTGTTCTGTGATAAGTTTTTGGCAGAAGTAAAGGGTCAAGTGAATTCTGTCGTAAGCTGAAATTAATCATTCCAAGTATTTTTACTTGTTCACTTTTCAGCTTTTATGTTTGTTATTGAATGTGCCCGAATGCTTGATTCATTTTCTCTGTGTTTACAATTGAATATAAACTTATTATTGGAAGGTAATAGTGAATGTTTGATTTGGTTGTTCAATTTGTACACTGCTGTTTATTCTTTGAACCGTGAGACTTTAATTGAGGTAATACACTGAGTTATTGAGGCAATATTCAGTTCTTGGGGTTTCATCTTGAAGGGGCTTATGAAGACTGAACTCTCTATGCTAGACGCCTTTTATCCTAAACTTGGAAACATGTTGTAGGCTCGCCCCCAGCAAGGCCCATGTCGCAGGCAAACAAAAGGGCGGGCCAGGTCGCGGGGCGGCCTTCCTGGACCCGTGACGGGTCACGGGCCAGGTCTGGGCGCGGCCCGAGGGTTGTGGGGCAGGTCTGGGTATTGAACTACCCGGCCCGACCTGCCCCATTGCCATCCCCGTGCTTGAAGGATACTGAAAATACTAAGATTTGGATAAGGTATAACTGAACTGAGCTCTTGAAAGTGATAGCTAATGCAAGCCTTGTTTGTTTTAGATGTCAGGAAACAAGGCTGTGGTTGGGCTTTCATGGGAACCTAATTTGGCTGTGTTTTCATCCACCGGAAAGGAAAGATGCCCTGAAACTGAAATCAGTGCTCTGTACAAACCCAATTCTGAGCTCGTCGATGGTCTTTTTCTTCCTCCCAATGACCCCAAAAAGTTAAACAAACTGATCAAGAAACAAGTCAAGGACACTGCTGGAAAAAAATGGTTCTTAAATTCTTTGTCCCTCTGCAGTTTTCATCTCATCATTGACTTTTATGTTTTTACGGAGGGAATTGTTGACCTAGTGATGTGTATTTGGTGTTGTATTTTTGATAGGTTTGATATGCCTGCTCAAACCATGACACCGGGGTTGAAAAAAGATCTACAGCTTCTGAAGGTGCTGTTTTTTCCTTCCTTTTTACTTTTCCTTTTAAAGATTTGAAGGTGCAGTTAATTGATTGATTCCTTGTGCAAATTTCCATTTTCACAGTTTATTAATTCATTTGTGTAAATGCACTGTTATTTAGCATTGTAAGGTTGCTTGAATAGTTGAATTTCAGATCATTGATAGCATTAGGATCACTGCATGTAAAATTTTTTCTCTGTGTGAGAGAAAGAGTGAGTGTAAAAACAGGCTGATATCTAGTGAATGCGTATTGGATAGAGCATAGGACAACACTGTCTGAGCATCTGAATGTATGATCTGTAACTTGTAATTGGCATTATCATAATTTGGTAAGAGAAAATTAAATTACTATTTATATTGTTATAAGTAGAGTGCAGCCGTCAAGATGTACCTGAGTAGTGTGTACCTGAGTTCCTGCCTCTCGTGTCTATTGTCGTTAAATTGGAATAATAATATTTCTCTACGCGTAATGTTAAGTTTTGATCTTGGCAGTTGAGGGGTGCCCTAGATCCGAAGAGGCACTATAAGAAGGGTGATTCTAAATCCAAGACACTGCCCAAGTATTTCCAGGCAAGTCTCTATATGTGATTTCTAACAGTAAAATTTTTCAACTGAGTTCGACTACTTTAGGAGTTGAATGCTGGAGACTCATTTGCTTATTTATTAGGTGGGCACTGTGATAGAGTCTGCAACGGAGTTCTTCACTGGCAGACTTACTAAAAAGGAGAGAAAGGCAACCCTTGCTGATGAGTTGCTTGCTGACAGTACCCTTGGTGATTATAGGTGTGTTTCTGTCTAGTATTTTCTAGAAAGTGAACAATGCTTGTTCTTGATTCATTGAAGAGTAATTATAAGACTGAATCCCTTCCCGGCCTAGTGTGGTTTCAGAATGAGGAATTCTTTTTAACCTTTTGCGAGAATTACAAAAATTGCTCCTAAAGTTGAACTACTTACAAAAAAATACTAGCTGTCTCCAAAATTACAGAGGATACTCCTGAGTTTTAGTTTGCTGTCAAACCTATGGCTAACTGTAATGTAATGTAAGAATGTGAGAGGGGTGAAATGTTATTTCATATGAAGGGAGTCATCTTTGACCAAACAAAAATAAAAAAATCTTTATTTTTTGGGTTGTTATTTTTTTGTGGTTCTGCACAAGGTTACTTTTTGTGATCATCTGCAACTCTTTTTAATGCTGTTAGCAATGTTAAAATACATGCAGCTAGTCATGGCATCATGTTCTTTTGGACCTCTGATTTTTATTTTTAATTTGAATAGTTGTTTCCTTGCACAATCATTTATGCAGAAAACGCAAGGTTCGAGAGATTGAAGAGGCAAACCGGCCTGCTGGGGTGGACAAGTGGAAGAAAAGCAAGTCAAAGAAGCATGCAAAGGGCAGGAAAAAGGTGTAAGCAGCTAAAATAGGTGCACACTCAATTAACCATTTTCCGAGGTTGGATATATACCCTTTTGTTTAGCATGAGGTTAAGAGAGGTTATGTTGGTTTACTCTGTTTATGAGTCTGTCTGGTGAATTGGGATTATACCCATCTGTTTTCGGATGAGAACATGATGTTCTTGTTGTAGTTCTGTTATTCACTATAACCATTTTGTTATTGGTATATTATTTATTTATGCAATGGATACGGATGGACTAAATATCAGATATTTCCTTTGTTATCCTCTGTATTTCTTGTTAAATCATACAAGATATGAATGTTATGCAGCTGATGATAGTGTTCCCATTTATGTCTTGATTGATTTGTTGCCATGAAAAGCAGCACCACCACCACAAAAGGATGTTAGCTACACCACAAAGAGACTTGCTAAATTTTGATTCTTTCGTTACAACATTTGTAAAACCGTTGACAGATTGTGTTAAAAAATCAAGCATTTATCCTAAGATTCAACCTCCTCAACCATAGAGAGTGAAGCATCATATGGAACACATCATATCTCTTAGGCGGATCATTCACCAAGAAATGTCGTTGTACTTGCTTCACCCCACGATGCAAAGCCTCGTAATCATCTTCCCCTATCCCCGTCAAGATCCTCTTCAAATTCGGCAGCTCGTCCACTGAAACCGTAACCGAAAACCGGTCCCAATCCAGCACGTCGCTAAAGGGGAAAATGTAGTTCTCGGATATCAAGACAGGCACGCACTCTGCATATATGGCCTCCGGAACCCTCGGGCTCGCCACCTCGTACCCGCTTGGGCACAGGCAAAACTTGCTATTCTCCATCATCTCTTTGTACGAGTTACTATTTCTATTGCTAGGGCTCAACGGCATCTTTTCAAACACCTTGATGTTGTCGTCTTTGTCTTTCCAGTGTTGCAGGAGCAATGATCTGATGCGGCCGTGCAGTTGGCCAGCAAAGAATGCTAGGGTCGTTCGGTTGGAAGATGCCGGCGATGTTAACCCAGTTATTTCGCCGGTTGGAAGGTTGATCTCAGGTATCGATACGTCTTTTCTGGGGTTGAAAAACTCGGAGGTGTTGGCATTGCATAGTACTCGGATTGAGGTGAAGTATAGGTGGTGCACGTACCAAGTCGCTCGAGGCCCCTGTCTTGGACAAGGAAAAACTAATCAATTGTGACCAATCAATTTTTTCAACTCAATATTTAATAAAATTCAACTATTTTCAATATTATCAATATAATTAAATAATATACAATCAATAATCATCACAAATCACATTAACTATTCATCCACTCATTCACTCGCATAATTTTAGTAACACATAACTTTCAATTATCCCTCTTCTACTTTTACATCAAATCAACTTTAATCATCATATTTTAAATATTATTTTAATACAAAATGAAAATTTCACTCAAACTTAACCCAACAAACTTATTTCAAAATTAACTCTGGTAACTAATAAAATCAAAATATCCAATCAAAAACTTCATTGTTGTACGCATGCATATGCTCACCCAATCATGGCACGAGAGCATGAAATGATCAGCCCCGAGGCTTCTATTCCAGTACGTGTACTTGGCGGACACCGTGCGAACATAATCTCCCACGACACGTTCGAGCACGGCCTTGTCGCGCTCGATTGGGTCGAACAGGTTCTGGAGGATCATGACCACACTAAATGGTAGGAAATAGAGATGGGCCTCGTCAGGATCATAGCTTCTGAATTTGCTGCTCGACTCAATCAACCCAAGTAAAATGCCTTCTGTAGAATATATGTCCTTCCAAGGGCCATTGTGAAACAAAGGTGGGTCGCCTTCTTCGTAGACATATATCTTCAACATGCTCTCCATTAACCTATAACTCCTGAGGAAATTAATAAAATTTCTAATACTGTGACCGCAATTTTAATATGGAGTTGCAGTTAATAATAAAAAGTTAAAAACACGTGCATAAGTGTTGCCAATTTGAAAATAGAGTAATTTATATTTGATAGAAATAATATCTTTTTTTGGTCACACATGCATGCATATGTGACCTACTTTAATTTGATTGAAGAAGCTCATGTGATGGTTATTAACGAGTTTTTTTCTGCACACACAAACACACACACACGCATATATGCACCAATTATCGAGTTTTTGCCGTTAGATTAACACACCCATCTCCCGATAACTATACTGTAGTTGCCGGTAGGTTGAAATGCTTCGTGAATTAGAAAGCAAGTGTTAATTTTATTTATTTACCTTTGAAATACATAGGCATTCCTGTATATTTCTCCCCGGGGGATATAATCAGGATCCTTCTCATCAAATGCTATTTCTGAAGTACGACCTTTAATAATCGCGTCTTTAATCAAGGCTCTTGCCCTTGCAAGACCTGCTTCAGTTTTGGTCATTTTTTTATCCTCACCTCTTCTCATCGACTTTGATTTCTCATTGAGCTCATTCACCAGATTGGTCACTGCCTTTTGCATTTTTGGATTCTGCAAATATATGGAATAGTTTCATAAATTATAAATCGTGGCATTTATAATGCACAATGTTTATTAAATTACTAGAGATTGTAGAAAGAAATTAAAACACCCCAAATTTGTGACACACTTAACTATGCTAAAGACTGCAAAAATAAATCAAATACACCAAGCTGTGTAAAATAGCAATATTAATTCGAATATGGCTATTTAAACAATTATTTAACAATTAACACTATCATGTCAATCTGACATTTACAATGATATACATCATGAGCAAAGGAAAAAAATATAAAAATATTTGAATCTCAATCTTTGTTCACAAATTACTTGTATGTTCAACATGGAAGGTCAACAAAATTTATAAATTCATAAATAAATAAAAATTGAATAAAGAACAATAGAGTGATGTAAAAAGTTCTTATACAGTGAATGTGGGGTAGAGGGCCAGGTTCGGGTTTGGCAGCGGTGGAGATGGGCTGGCGGTGGAGGAGAAGGCGTCGGAGAAGAAGAATGAGGATGGAAAAGAGAAGAAATATATATTTTTAGTGCCATTGTTTGTGATGAGAGCAAAAAAATAAACAGCAGCTAAAGATACAAAAACAAGAATTTGAATGTAATTGCATGGACTTAAATTGCTGATCAATGCTCTAATTCTAAGCATTAATCCCTCCCTCATATTTAATATAATGGCTGCCTGTTTTTCTCCTTTCACTCACTCACTATGTGTAGTGTGTGTCTTTTTCAGTTAGAAATTAGTGAAATCCGAGGAAATGGAACCCTTCATTTATGGGTTTTGTTGGGTGACCTTTTTTTTAATGGTAGAGAAACAACTCACAAGCATTTGTTATGTAGTTTCTTTTTTTAAGGTTAGATTAGATGCACGTGTAAAAAATAATAATAGTATGACCCATGCTAGTAAAATTTGGCAATTTCAAAATCTTAGCATATTGTTACACTATACCTCAATGAGATCTAATTAAACGTAGACGTGAAAATGACGGGTAGGAACAACTTCAATGTGTAATGTTAATTGTAAAATATTTGACACAACGAAAGAAAAGAAAAAAACATAAATCGACAGTGATATCGGTAAATTCGATTCTATCAGTGGGAGTAGTATTCTCATCGAGTTTTTTACCATTGAATCAACACACACCTAAGATATATATATATATGTGTGAGTAACCATTCTCATCGAGTTTTTTACCATTGAATCAACACACACCCAAGATATATATGTATGTGTGAGTAACCAACGGCAAAAAGTTTGATGAACAATTACTCTACTGGTAGGATCATATCGAACTTGCCCATATAGAATATGAAAGAAAGAATGTGATATATGTTAAATAATAAATGATTCAATGATAAAGAAAAGGAAAATAAATAATAAGATATTGAGTATTATTTCTACATCTAGACTTGGAAATTCTCTAAGCCATGTAGAAACTTTTTTTAGGTATAGAAGATGCTCCATGAGCTAGTTTGATTTTGCTCACTTGAGGTAGATCTGTAGATAAATTTGATAAATTATACTCAAATACTGTGCTTCATTTTTATGACCTAAAATAATAAACTAATCAAACGCTTAAATAAATTAATACACACATACACAAAGAAAGAAAGACATGACTGACAGTCAGATCTTGGAAGGTTCGAAGTAAATAGGATTCCAAGACAAAGGCATCGAAAAATGAAGGAAGGATACCGTTCTATTATTAAAGGTGTTAGAATATCACTTGTGAGTTGTCCCACATCATTCATATATGGAAAATAGACCCACCTTATAAGACTAATGGGCTACTCCTCCTTCCACCAATTGGTTGTGGAATGGAACCCCATTTGGGCTTCATATGGACTTTTCCCTTCTTTCATGGTGTCCTTCATGATAGTGGGTCAGCACTCATTTCCCCCAGTTTCTGTCACAAGGCATCTCCCAGTTTCTGTCACAAGGCATCTTCTCATTAATGCACTTTGTAAGTGATAATAATGATAATAATAGTTGTTTAACAATTAATATTTTTTTTTTTCAATTTTATTAACATCCATAATAATTAACATGCCCAGATGACAATGTAGTTGTACAAGAGATCAAATAACATAAGGATATGGGTAACAAGTTAATACTTTTATTGAAAAATAATTATGATCTACACACACCTGTATTTTGTAGTATCCATGGGGTGCAAGATCAATTTTTCCAATAAAAAACGTACAAAATTGAATTCGTTTGATTAATTTAATGCTCCCTAATGGACCCACTAACATTCTAAAATCTATAAACATGACGATCTACAAAAAGAAAATGAAAAAACAAGTATATTAATCTATTAATATATAAAGAGGGAATGATAGTTTTTTGAAAAAATCATGTGGAAAATCAGGAAAAAAAAGATTTCGTTTCCCGCCCAAATGTTTAATGTAATGAGTGTAATTTTAGGCGAAAATTGAGCAAAATCCCGCCCATGCAATTCCGAAATTTTGGATGTCAAATTTAAAAGGAGTGAGTGTAATCTTTTAGCGAAACTTCAGCAAAATCCCGCCCATGCAAGTCCGAAATTTTGGATGTCAAATTTAAAAGGAGTGATTTCAGCACCTTTATATGGTGTGTAGTTATTATGTGATGATGATAAGATTTGATCAGATTTTTATGGCACTTATTTGTAGATATCCTACTCTAAAAAAAAAAAAATATCCTACCTAT